TTGAACACTGGTCATGATAAGCTGGGTGTTTCATGGTTAATTAGGACACTGGTCATGATAAGCTGGGTGTTTCATGGTTGATTAGAACACTAGTCATGATAAACTGGGTGTTTCACGGTTTATTTGGACACTGGTCATGATAAACTGGGTGTTTCATGCTTTATTTGGACACTGGTCATGACAAACTGGGTGTTTCATGGTTTATTAGAACACTAGTCATGATAAACTGGGTGTTTCATGGTTAATTAGGACACTGGTCATGATAAGCTGGGTGTTTCATGGTTGATTAGAACACTAGTCGTGATAAACTGGGTGTTTGATGGTTTATTTGGACACTGGTCATGATAAACTGGGTGTTTCATGGTTAATTAGAACACTAGTCATGATAAGCTGGGTGTTTCATGGTTTATTTGGACACTGGTCATGATAAACTGGGTGTTTCATGGTTTATTAGAACACTAGTCATGATAAACTGGGTGTTTCACGGTTTATTAGAACACTAGTCATGATAAACTGGGTGTTTCATGGTTTATTAGAACACTAGTCATGATAAACTGGGTGTTTCATGGTTTATTAGAACACTAGTCATGATAAGCTGGGTGTTTCATGGTTTATTAGAACACTAGTCATGATAAGCTGGGTGTTTCATGGTTAATTAATAGACTGGTCATGATAAACTGGGTGTGTCATGGTTTATTTGGACACTGGTCATGATAAACTGGGTGTTTCATGGTTTATTAGAACACTAGTCATGATAAGCTGGGTGTTTCATGGTTAATTAGGACACTGGTCATGATAAGCTGGGTGTTTCATGGTTTATCAGGACACTGGTCATGATAAACTGGGTGTTTCATGGTTTATTAGGACACTGGTCATGATAAAGCTAGGTGTTTCATGGTTTATTAGAACACTAGTCATGATAAATCTAGGTGTTTCATGGTTTATTAATAGACTGGTCATGATAAAGATAGGTGTTTCATGGTTTATTAATAGACTGGTCATGATAAAGCTAGGTGTTTCATGGTTTATTAATATACTGGTCATGATAAAGCTAGGTGTTTCATGTTTTATTAATAGACTAGTCATGATAAAGCTAGGTGTTTCATGGTTTATTAATATACTGGTCATGATAAAGCTAGGTGTTTCATGTTTTATTAATAGACTGATCATGATAAAGTTAGGTGTTTCGTGGTTATTAATAGACTGGTCATGATAAAGCTAGGTGTTTCGTGGTTTATTAATAGACTGGTCATGATAAAGCTACGTTTTTTTTCTTTAAGAAAGTTTTCATAATGTAACTTTTTCATGTTTTATTGGAATCCATTTATAATAAAATTGGGCTTTAACACGTTATAAAATAACATAATATCATGTATAGTAGTCAGAGAATAAAAAAAAAACGTAACTAGAACAAACTGTCAAATGTCTTGACATTGGAGAAACTAGTTTCAGCATGTCCGTGTGACACCCGAACATGGAATTATTTTCTCCAATATCAAGGCTTCTGACAGTTTGTTCCATTTAGTGTTTTTTTTTTTGTTTTTGTTCTTTCATAAAACACTGTTCTAGATAATTTAACGATTAAAGTGAACAAGAAAGCAAGCATTATTGTTGTTATCAGTAAACATAGTTTTGTATATAAAATAAGTTTTAAATTTTTTGTTCACTTTTTTTTTATTTACAGGTAATATTCTACTTGGTAGTGGAAGTGTCAGCAATGAAATCAAAATTACTGACTTTGGCTTGAGTAAAATCATGGATGACGAAAACTACAGCCCTGAATATGGAATGGACCTGACATCACAAGGAGCAGGGACCTACTGGTAAATTTTGAAGGGGTTATTTTATTTGATATCTTTGTTAACTGTATGATCTTTAACATGACTAACTTATACCATGTTAAGAAGAATATTACTCCAAAATTGAGCTTAATAGAGAACTTTTGATACTAACGTTTGAAGTAAATTAGTGATTCACAATACTATACTCTCTCTCGACTAGTACTTCGCTCGCCACTAGCCTTGCAACTCCCACTTCTTTCTGCATATCAACATGTAAACAATCGTGCAGCAACCCTCCACCAATAGGAATGTGACACAATACTTATCGTAACTAGCGCCCTCTTTAATCATGCAACTGTTAATCACTTCGAGATTGGCAGTCTTACTGTGCAGACATGTTTGTTTTTGATGACAATTTAGTTATTACATCCAGACGTTTTTACTTTAGTTATTGTCATTTTTCCTTTTTATTTTTCTGTGGAGATTTGCGATTGAAATTTCATTATCTATTCTCCCTTTTCTATTTTTTTTTGTTCAAGTTTTGGACTTTGTGAGTTATGCACTCACAATTTCAGGTTGTCATGACTACCACTGCTGTTAATGGTACAGCGGAGTGCCCGACCACATCTACCCATAATTAGACTCGCACCTTTTGAAATTTTTTCCTATGTGGGATTCAGCCCCTGATACTTCAGTGAATATTCCTGGATACTTCTTACGATATCCACTGTGTATTATCCTCCCTTCACCTTTTGGTTGAGGCTATTTTCCAGCCTCATTAAGGGTTTTCTGTTGGTCATAGTAGTTTCCTTTCTGCTACCATAGCATGCTTTTCCTCTAAGGCCTTTACTTGACAGACATAGCTGCTCTTCTTTGGGTTGTTCTTGGTCAGGATACTCTTATATTTAGGGTTTGTTGACCCTCCTCTTCATTGCATGACTTGCACATAGCACCTTTTTTCCATCAAGAGATGTCTAGGGGTCTTCCCAACTATTTAGAGACCATTTATTCCCAGCATCAGTTGGTGTCTCATCTTCTTCCTTTTCTCTTGCACATGAGGTTCGATCTCTTTAGGTTTTTTTTCGAAGCCCTCATTCCTGTTGATCGTGCCCACATGTGCCATCCTCAGTGGGCTTTTGATCAATCAGTGGTGCCTTGTTCGGGATCCCTTAGATGCTCCTCTTACTCTTTACCCTCACTTACAGTCAGAATTTGACAGGTGGTTGGATCGGACCAATATTACTGCAGGGGTTTCTCTTTCTGTTTGGGGAGCATATCTCGAAACTCATGAGGTTTCAGGGTGGAGAATTCTTTTCAAATCTGATCTCCATATGAATCTCTTGGAACGTTTTGCTGTTTGTTTGTCCTATTGGCTATTCAGGACTAGGTGGTGATGATCCACTCCGACAATTCTATGGTAGAGTCCTAAATCACCAGGCATGGGGGCACCTGGTCGAGTGACCTTTGTTTTAAAAGCTTCAATCTTCTATATTGGGCCCACTGCCATCATATCGCTTTGTTGGCATGTCATATTCCAGGTGTCCTGAATCTGGTCATGGATTGGCTATCCAGTCACAACAAGATTCTTCCAATGGGGTATTCTTTAAATCCTCTCATTGTTTGGGAGTTGTGTGCACTTTGAGGTGTCTTTTGCCTCACATCTTGATACATACCTTTCCAATTTTTGATCTCCTGTTCCATTGGCAGGAGCAGTGTATGCCCTCAGTCGTCGTTACCTCTCTGCATGTCCTCCTATTTGTGTTCTTCCTCATGTCCTATCAATAGTTCAGACTACTCCATGTAGAGTTCTGCTGGTGGCACCATATTGGCCAGCTCTAACATGATTTCCACTTCTGTGATGATTTTTTGGTGTCATCTCCTCTTCCTCTGCCTTTGTTTCCTTTTTCATCCACACTCCAGCGTGCATTGTCCATCTATACCTGCACTTCATCTTCACATGTGGCTTTTGTTCAGTCCCTCTCCAGACTTTCCAGGTGTATAGCTTCCTTGGTTTCCTGTCCAGTTCATCCTTCCTCTTTGATACTTTACCAGAGTAGGTGGTATACATAACGCTGTTGGTCTATATGCTTAGGTCATCGTACTTCTCTTCCTACTATTCCTCACTTGGCTTTCTTACGGGGACCTATCAGTTTCCTCTGTTGTAGGCTATAGGGCAGTTTGACTTCCACTTTTTGGTTTACCAGATTTGCTTCTGTAACCCTTCAGGGCCCTTAGATGCATCCTTTGGTAGTTCCTGGGTCAGTTTGTTTCTTCTTTGGAATCATACCTTTTCCCATTCTCCTTAGGGGTTGGATTTGCCAGTCACTTCAACTGGCGTGTTCTTCCATTTCTCTGTATGTTTGTGGTGTTTTTCGTATTTTTTCCCATCAGATCCATCAACTTACCATGTCCCTGGCTGCCCTTTTCCATCTTCCCTGAGAGTACATCATCAGGGTATGTATGTGGACTACTCTTTTTCTTTTCTTCACAGGGGCCTTTTGCTATATATGTTTTGGATCCCACTCTGTGGCAAGTAGTGCCTGGCCAGGTATACTTAGTATTAAATCTGCACTGTACATCCTGTGACCATGTTTGATGATTATGATGTTGAGACTCTTCCCACCATAGATCAAAAAATTGTACATAGACAATATAACACGTTACTGGATCATGTTACACACACCATTGAGATGGGATATTCTGTAGGACCAATCATAGACATATCGTGGTCTTTTGCTTCGTAACTATGGTTGTCCCAGACCATAAACTCATGGACTTACATGGGCAAAGCAAACAGGGACTACTGCCCATTTCTGATGCTCTATGGCATTGAGGCTCTTCCAACCGTAGACTCGATGTACAATTCCATATGCCACCAGGTGTTGGTTGGTTGACTCTGTCAGCGTGGTAGCTCTGCTTTTCAAAATAGGTAATTGCAGTCACACATTGCTCTGTCTCCACTGCTGCTGTTCTCTGAACTCTCCAATGCACTTTTCTCACCTTTCTTCTAAAGGAGTATGGGAGTCCTTGCCGCTTACCAGTTCCTAGCCACTGGGGTGGTGGACCTTGGAGGTACATAATACCACTCAGATCGAGAGTAGGGCAGGGGTATTTTTACTGGTGTCAATGATGTGACACCATTCCTACCATGGACCTGATGTACAATTCCAGATGTCACCAGGCATTGGTTGTAGAACTTTGCCATATATCGCAGTTTATCCCTCCAGCTGAGGCATTCCTTCTTCTTACCATCCTTTTGATGTCAGTTTCCAGTGGATCAGATGTTGGTTACATCGGAGGTGTGCACATGCAGAGACGAGTTCTTGATACAGAAGCTCATCTTCCCTCCCCGTACCTAATTTTAAGGTGAAAGGTACAGAACCCCTCTGTGGACCTAATGTACAATTCCAGATTCTGCCAGGTGTTGGTTGAGGTTGAACTCCCTAGCCACTCAACACCTAGGGGTCCTATTGCTGCTGAATATTTTTTCGGGACCCCTCCATGTTCCTGCCCTTTATGTTTTGATGGTAAATTACTAATGAGTGAAGAGAGAAGTGGTGCTGTCTCTCACTAGTGTGTTGTTTTTAGTTCCTTACCACACCTCATGGTCTTTCCTTGGGTGATTTCTAAAGGAGGATCATATTCTCACTGGCCCTCTACCACTTCAATCTGGAATTTAGCTTTATGTGAAAAGAGGGAAGTATTCGTATCAGAAGTTAATAATTTTTCTAAACTGGAAATGAGTTTCCAATAAATACTCACCTCTACTCACATTTCCCACCCATCCTCCTCACTTCTGGCGTGATTTGGTAGGATTAGTTATGACCAATCTCGAAGTGATTAACAGTTGCATGATTAGAGAGGGCGCTAGTTATGATAGGGGTAGTGTTGCACTCCTATTGATGGAGAGTTGCTGCATGATTATTTACATATTCATATGCAGAAAGAAGTGGGAGTTGCAATGGTAGTGGTGAGCAAAACATTTGCACCAATAGAGGGCAGAACTAGTCGAGAAAATATCTACAGGAAATACAGTTTAAGAAAAATGTTAACTTCTTTATTTTTTATTATTATTTCAATGACTGGTATTTTCAAGAAATGTATTAAACAGAGTAAGGTTTACCCTTCTCAATGGTAGTTTGAATTTGCTCTGAATTTATTATAGTAAATGACTTCTTAGTGTCCTTTTATGTTTATGGAAACTCATTTTCAGTTCTTCTAATAAACATATTGTATGTTGTATTCATTAATGTATAATTCCCATTTGCAGGTTAACAAATATATGTGAATCAGTCATTAAAAATAACTTCTTTTCTAGTTGTCCGTTAGTCTTCAAAACTATTCACTTTTTCTTGCTGTAGGTACCTACCACCTGAATGCTTTGTAGTTGGAAAAAATCCACCCAAAATTTCATCAAAAGTTGATGTGTGGAGTGTGGGCGTGATTTTTTATCAGTGTCTTTACGGGAAAAAAGTAAGTCTGAATACTTGTTGTTTTACACTTTTGTGTTATGAGCATTCCTCAACTATTCTGGATCCAATGATAATGAGTTCCTACGTTACTGATGATGATAATCTTTCTTTTCAGCCTTTTGGTCATAATCAGTCCCAGGCAACGATCCTGGAAGAGAGCACTATCCTCAAAGCGAAGGAAGTTGACTTCCCAGTAAAACCTGCCGTGAGCAATGAAGCTAAAGTAAGCTGTGTTACAGAAGCTATTTTTACAGTAAAAAAAGAAGTAGAAATTATGAAAATCACCTTACCTCCATATTGATAGGTTAATCTAATCCTATTGTATCCTGTCAATAAAGTGGAGAGTCAGTTGCCAAGATAAGTTTCACAGTTCCCTAAAATAAAACCATAATATTCTAAAATGTGGAGCTAAATGATAACTTTTTATAGATAAGAGTCAACATGCATAAATCCAAACTATTCAAAAAATCTGCACATACTTTGTGATACTTAGTTTTTACTTCGCAATGTTAACCAAAGGTGCCCTAATGTCTCTGAGTTTTTTTTGGCATCATGTCTGTTGTTGAGGTTTCTAAAGACAACATATTTTTCACTAAATTTTTGTATAATGAAATACTTAAGAAGCAGTTACAAACTTAAATATTTAAAAGCAATTACATAACTGTCAATTTATGATGTGTTCTGTTTATTTTACCAAGATATTACTATTGGGAGATAGGTTCATTCATCCTTTTCTGTAGGCCAAGAATAAGAGAAAAGCAGCTAAGATTTAGCCTTTCGTTGTAGTCAGTATAAAAAAATATATATATTCTGAATAGCATTTAGAATGACAGCTTTTCTTTGCTTTTTTTTCAAAACATCATGTGATTATATTTTTATTGTGTAACCTCCTTTTCAGAAGGGTGTTTTGAAACTGTGAAATAATTATTTCCAATTCTAAAGTGCCTCTTATTTAATCCTCAATTAGCAACATTTCCCCATGAACTTTGTGTCGTTGGAATCACTCTAAAATATCCATGTAGACCATTTTGTAATTTTGTTAATTTCAGACCTACGAAAGAGATTCTAAAAACCTAGGGCAAAATATATTTACCTTTATGTCACCCGAGGGAAGACGTCTTACAACGTGACTTGATGGCAAAATATATTTACCTTTATGTCACCCGAGGGAAGACGTCTTGCAACGTGACTTGATGGCAAAATATATTTACCTTTATGTCACCCGAGGGAAGACGTCTTGCAACGTGACTTGATGGCAAAATATATTTACCTTTATGTCACCCGAGGGAAGACGTCTTACAAAGGGACTTGATGGCAAAATAT